GGATCCAAGTCTCCAACAGTAATCCTTCCTGTCCCAGAAGCAAAAGATTTTCCACTCATTTAAACACTTATTTATCCTTCAGAATAGTTTCTTCATAGATAACACATTTATGTGTCTGTTTCTAAGGTCTTGCCCTAGAGCATAGAATAATTTTTCATTTAAATTTCTATCATTATGATGAAGAAAACTATCCTTGTTTTACACTTATTTTGTGCCTCAAACTCAGAGATACACCTGAGTCTGCCTCCCGAGTGCTGGGATTTACAGATGCCACCACCGTCCAACATACTAATTTTTTGAGACAGGGTCTATATAGACCAGGCTGGCCTCTACACCTACAGAGATCCACCTGCCTCTGCCTCTCAAGTGCTGAGATTAAAGGTGTGCTCCACCATATCCACTCTTGTAATAATTTCCTACAGATTTTCTGAATCCTCTAGAAATTAAATATCCTCTCAAAAATGTACTAAATTGCCCAACAAATAGGAAAAACCTTAAATACCATGCTTAGTACTGACTTGAAGCCTTCACTCTTACCCCTCTGTATGGCTTCCTCATCTATAACTGCACTCAGTCATTCTTCAAATGAAGTAAAAGATCTATTGTTCAAAACTGGTACACAAGTAATTCAAAAGTGATTAAGGCATGATCAAGTTTTTGTAATGCACAACTCTGATAGTCCAGCAGATAGAGATGGTGCCACACCAACCAAGGTTTTAGAAATGAAATAAAAAACCATCAGTCTTCAGTTTCACAAATGAGGGGGAAAAAAGAACAAAAAACCTAACTTTGTAGGTTTAAGAGGAATAAAGAACTTACAAACCCATGGAGAAGATATCTTTTTTTCTTTTTCGGTTTTTTGAGACAGGGTTTCTCTGTGTACCTTGGCTATCCTGAAACTTGCTCTGTAGACCAGGCTGGCCTTGAACTCAGAGATTCACCTGCCTCTGCCTCCCAAGTGCTCAGATTAAACATATGTACCTTTCATTATCTTATTTTTATGTGTACTGCTGTTTTGCCTGCATGTATGTCTCTGTGAGTGTCAGATCTCATGGAACTAGAGTTACAGTAAGTGTAAGCTGCCATGTGCAAGCTGGGACGTGAACCCATGTCCTCTGGGAAAGCAGCCAATGAGAGCTCTTTAATTATACTGAGCCACCTCTCCAACCCCTTTGTATTTTTTTTTTAATACTGGTATTACTCAACTTTAAGTTCCATGAACACGACAGGTTAAAAAAGATTCTAATGTCTTGGTTTTGTATATTAGGAAAGCAAATGGACTGAGGAAAAACAGCTTCAAGTCTTGATTTCACTGATTTACAAGTTCTATGGTAGAGACAAACCAAACCATCACACAAATGGAGTGAAGTGTTAGAAGAGACGAGAAACTAGAGAAGGAACACAGAGAGTTCCTGGACTAGAATAAAGGGGGTTCAAATTCTCCAGGTAAGCATGTTTTTCAGATATCCTGTTAGTGTAATTTATCCTGCTCTTGATTATGAAATGGTCAAAATATTGTTTTTTCCAAATAGAATACAACAACAGCCAGAAGCCATACTCTTTGCCCTATTTTCTTTAATCATGAATTTTAATCTTATATCCTTTCATTTACAGCAAAGTCAGCATTTACTGTCCTCTGTAAAGAATGAGCACTACACTCAAAACAACTTAATTATATTTCCTCAGTACTAGCAATATTTAAAACTGTAGAACTATTATTTGTATAAGTTCTTAGTATACTGGCTTTATTACACAGTTATTAATAATTTCTCTGGGTGTTTAGTTGGAACAAAGTTACTTCAGTAACATTTTGTTCAGAGTACAAAAAAAAACCCCTCAATTAATCTACATAAAACTGAATTCTACAATTTACAGCTTTGAATTTTTCTGTTCATTAGGAAAGAAACTAAAGATACTGGTTCAAACTGGTTTCATAGCTATTCTAAATGAGAGGTATGCTTGTGAGCACATCTTTATACTTAGGGACAGAATAATACAAGTATTAATTCACAATTATCATTCCTAGCCAGAGCTTGTGTGTTAAAAAAAAGTTCAATTTATCAGTAAAAGACATATGGTTAATGTAAGGTGGCTTTGCAGCAGTTTTCTAGAGTATCTTACTTATTGGGAACTAGGTAACAAATTAAAATCTGTCTATCTCTTAATTTCTTAAACAAAAGAAGCGATCACAAGAATTTTTAAGGCTTTTTTTTTTTCAGATGGCCTGGTGGCTTTCCTGTGCCAAGGGAAGAGACTGAAAAGACCAAAAGCTTAAAGAAAGTTGCTCCACTTAAGGAAAGGGAAATCAAAATGAGAACTTTACTTTATCAAGACGTAAAAATTATAGTTCCAACATTCAGTGGTGAAGAGTCATTTGATAATTTTCTTCACTACATATGTGTTGAAGCGGCACCATCAAACTGTGGAAGGGACAGAAAAGATAACATTTCAGTAAATGTTTAGAGTTTGAAAAAAAATTGAAGCTGCTTGAAGTGGTGGTGCACATCTTCAATCCTAGTATTTAGTAAAGGCAGATGCATCTCTGTGGGTTCAAGGCCAGGCTGATCTACAGAGCAAGGGCTACAGCTAGGGCTACACAGAGAAACCCTGTTTTTTGGAGGTGAAGGAGAGAAACAGTGTAACCTTAACATAGTAGTTGCAATACTATAATCTCTTGCAGGGTTCAGGGTATAGTTCAGTAGTAGAGTCAGTTCTAACTCCCTATCTCCAGGAGTACACCGCCCAGATAAAAAACATAAACATTCATTCCTAAATAAACTCAAATGCTAACAATAATTCACCTAAAACGACGTTTGACACAATATGATCAAAGGTGAAAAACTGAAGTAATTATTTCCCTTAAAATGGTTTTCATCACCAAATACATGCTAACTGGAAGCTTGCTATTTTGCCCTCATCCTTGTCTAAGAACAGTCTCTAGCTGGACATAATGTCACATGCCTATGATCCCAGAACACTGAAGGTTACGGCAGGAGCATCATGAGTTTCAGACCAGCTTGGGCTAACAGTGAATTACAGTCCAATCTAGCTATACAGTAATGTCACTTTCTCAGAGCGGGGCGAGGGGGTTCTTCCCTGAATTCATCCATCCCAACCTGTGCAGATGATATAATTACTGAACCTCTGTCCCAGTCAGTCCCTATCTGGCCCCACTGTTAAATTTTCAAACCATTTGGAATAATCTGAAAGGTCTTGTTTGTACCACCCTCTCTACCAGCCTTCTGAACCCACACACATCCTATTCATAGCTTTTCTCCAAGAGCGCAGATGCTGTGCTATCTGCTCACATCTGTAGTCACAGCATCCAGAACAACTTGATTATTATGTGTCAACTAAAGAATTGTCTCTTCGTGTGTTTTTAAACATGGTTGTTAGTCTTATTCTCAAGAACACTTCTGTAATTTAAGAAAGTTGGTGGCCTTCTGAAGTACACTGTAATTATTTTTTTTTCCTTTTAGTCACATCAATCCATTTCTGTTACACAATTAATCCGGGCATGGTAACCTACTCCTGATATACTCCTACTTGGAAGGATCACCTAACCCCACAATTTCAAATCAGTCTGGGAAACATAGAGAACCATTTCAAAAAAAATTTACATATATACAGGTCCAAAGACAGGCCTGTTACAAAAATGTATTCTTTCTTCTAAAATGACTTAAACATCAACATTCTTAAGACATGTTGCAACTCCTTCAAAAGACTATGAAATGCTGTTAAGGCATCCATACTTTCTTGACAAGAGTTATCTTAAGAAGCTGCCCCTCCCGTACTGATCAGCAGTCTCCTACATGGGAAAATTTCATGTCTGTTGGCGTGCACCATGCAACATAGTTGGTACCAGTTACATGTGGTTACTCTATGTAACTAATCAACTATGATGAATTTCACTTCACTCTCAAGTCAGTACTAATAAGAGAGCTGAGCTGGGGAGATGGTTTTGTGGGTAAGAAAGATTGCTGCACAGGCTTAAGAACCTGAGTTCAGATCCTTATCATCCATACAAGAAGCTATAGGTGGCCATATGTGGCTATAGTGTTAGTACTAGGGAAGGGTGGAAACAGGATTGTTGGGTACTGTTAGCTACCAGTCTACCAGGAAGCTGGGGGTGAGGACACCAAAAAACAATTCCATGCTTGGTGAAAGAAAAGGCCCTATGCTCAGAGGAATAGAACACAGTGATGGAGTAGAAACACAGCTTAGTAGGCCATTTTTATACTGGTTATATGTTGACAAAGCAGTACTTTATGTATATTGAACTAAATAATAAATTTATTTCAACTCTAACTTTAAGAGTTTATTTTTATGTATATTATGTGAGTGCTTAGATATAAGTATATGCACCATGTGTGCCTGGTGCCCTGAGGGACCAGATAGGATGTCAAATTCCCTGGAATTGCAGTTACAGGTGTTGCGAGCATCCTGATGTTGGTGCCAGGAACCAAACCCAGATCCTCTGAAAGAGCAGCAAGTACTCTTAACAACTGAGACATGTCTCCAGATCCACAATTTAAATAGCTACTCCAAGTCTTTAACAATATACACCTCACATTATACTCCTTTGTGGTCCTGGGGCTCAAACCCAGACTAACACTTGGGACCTTGCTAGTTACCTCATGCTGACCTTGAAATTACTATGTAGTCCAGGTGGTCCCCAAACTTTTATTTCTCCTTGTCTCCACAGCCTAAGAAGCTGGAATTACGTGTCTGCACCACCCCCACTCCACACATAAATATGGCTTTCAGTCTTTCTAAATCAACTCTTCCTGTACATTAGATAAAACAGATTATCTTTATTCTAATCACAGGCAGTCTCCACATACAAAGGGGTCCAATCCATAATGCAAATCATGAAATGGGGCAAGTACCTCCAGACACTCAGTATATTCTTAATAGGCTTCTCAATGAAGACCTTTAGAACACACTACTTAGTAGTTTCAGACTAGCCTAGTGCATCCCATTTTTCAAATCTCAATTACCTCGATCATGAATTCCTCGATTTATGGGAGTTGTGCAGACTTTACTGAAGTCCAGTGAATCATCCAAAATGGCATTTATCCTTCGAAAAATATTGGCATTGCTACATGTAGACAATGCAGGAACTTCCTGGTTGTCCCAGCAATCTTTTATCCTTCCTGTTTCTTCTTCCTAGACATGAGAAAACATGCTTAGGTTTTCTGTACTCATATAGAAATGATAAACAGACTTGACTCTATTATTTTAAACAATGCCATGAATTAAAAAATGTAACAAGGACTTCAGTTTATTGCCTACATATCAAAGCACTGAATAAATACTTATTATGAACAGAGAACTCAGAACACTATACCAGCTAAAGCATAAAGGTGTTTCCTCAAGAACCTCTTAATTCAGCAGTACACACATAGGAATTAACATGACATGTAAGCAATAACATGAACTTCAGAACTAGACAGACTTGGTTGAAATCTTCAGTATATCCACACAATGGAATATTGTTTGACGTAAATAAATGCACTGAGACATGGTAAACTTTGAAAATGTGAAAGAAGCTAGTCACAAAAAGATGACATATTAAGGGAGAGAGACATTTTTATCAGTGTGTCTCCACTGGTTAAGTTTTCCATGCTCTCATAAATAACCTTTCACCTCTGTAAAAACCCTAAACATATCAGGTCACCTGTGTCTCAGCTCCCCGCTGTGTGAAACGGGCAAAGATGACCTACCAACTTTTGGATGACTTGTATAAAGCATGGTGCCTGGTGCATATGTGGCAAGCATCAAAAATGAGACTAGCAGCACCCAAAGGTAAGACAGTCATTAGAAGCACACATAAACCTGCTTAAGAGCAGGAAGAGCCACATAAGGCATCGCTGGAGAAAACAATACTCTTAGACCTAGACTCACGAATGAGCCCTACATAAGAACTACTCTGGTGTTCTCTAGAAAATGTTCAGTATCACTATCTATTAGTACCAAGGTCAGCTACCTACCTGGTATCATTCTTCACCTTTCAGTTCCCTCATTTTCTGTACTCAAGGCCACATGTTTTAAGTAATGACACACTGGTTGACAGACTGAATTTTTTTTTTTCAAGAAAGGTTTTCACATAGGATGACTCAGAACTCCTTGAAATTATACCCTTACCCTGATCTCTAACTGTTGAGAAATATCGGCCCAGAATTCAATATATCCTCAGCCTGCAGCTGGGGAGTGGTGGACACCCAAAGCTATCCTCTGCTTCAGCTTCCCAGATAGGACTGCAACTATGTGACTCTACAGCCAGTGAACAGAATTAACTTTCTAAGGAAGATCAGTTTAAGGACTGCAATTATTCCCAAATAACTTGGGAAGAAAAAAAAAACAAATCAGAACAAGTAAGGAAAACCAGCACAGTTACAGCTTCTCTCATCAAAACAGAACAGAACAGCATGGTGTTACTTTGTGTAGCCTATTAAAAATCCAGGTGATCACGAGAAAGACCAAATGTATTTATAGTTTACAAACTGTTGAATGGTATTGAATGGATAGTTTCATATCCTACTTCAGATTTAAGCTTTTGAAAACATCCTCTGAAGCTTTCAAAGGCCACCAGAAAACTCAATTCTGCAAGGCTGTTTACCAAACCCTACCAAGTCACACCACTCTTTTCAGAATTGTACATTTCTAAGTAAGTTGATACTCAACTTCACTTTATAACTTCATAAAGGCATGCATTTACAATTTGCATATTGTAAGGCTATATGCTTTATTCATTCACTGCCTAATAAACATTAATTAGTTGTCTTCTATCTATAGGCAACACCTCAAGGGCCAACAAGTGAGACAAAGATTCACTTTGAAAGTCTGGACAATGAACTAAGATCTGGTCGTGTTATAAACAAACACCACAAGCTACAGCATGATGGGAACATATTCTGCCCTCTAATCCACAATGTATTGGGAAACTGGATAAAGGAAGAGGTCTAAAGAACAACACAGAAAACAGGAAGACATTATGAAAAGTGTTCCAGTACAGCAGAGTGTTAGGTACCAAAGAGAGGAACTGAAAAAGCTTCATAAACCAGGTTAAGGAGTTAGGAGTGTGTCTTCTACATCAGAAGTTACTAAAAAAAAATTAAGCACCCTCTAATAATGAAAAAAACCCTAATTTTTGTTTACTATAATGCAAGGGCTATAAATAAAATCTCAGGATCTTGGCCACTTCTGAGGGCAAGAAAATCATTAGCTGTAAGTCTTAACAGACTGACAGCAGTTGCAGGAGAGATGAGGACCAATGAAACAGATATGACAATAGTCTAGGGGACACACGCAGACTTGGGAATCCTTCTGAGAGAAAGTCATTCCTCAGGAAGAAGGTCTAAAATGCTTATTATTCCAAGTAGCTAGAAAAAAAAAGCTAATTTAAAGAATCTGTCCAGCCACTTTGCCTCACTCCTAATACCATTAGGAAGATGCATCATATTCCTGAACTGGCCCAATGTCATCTGGCATGCCCCCTTCCTTATGTACACAAATTACAGGTCTTTTTTTAAGGTGACTGTGAAATTAGAATAAAAATAATCAAGGTGTTCAATCTATACCCCTAATAGTCTATTACTTTCCTTATGCGCACACTACACATGAAAGTATAATACCGTGGCATATGGAGTCTGAATTCATACACAGGTAGTACTTACCAGTGCCTGGCACCTAATTATGTGCTGAGCAAATTAATGCTATCAGTACTAATATAATTACACCATGAGTCAGAGGCAACTACAGGGATCTCTGAAGAAAGGATCCATGTGCTCATTAAGTGAGAAAAAATGTATTTAAAAACTAAGGCAACTGCTAGGCGGTGGTTGTGCACACCTTTAATCTCAGCACTTGGGAGGCAGAGGCAGGAGGATCTCTGAGTTAGAGGCTAGTTTGGTCTACAGAGCAAGTTCCAGGACAGTTGAGGCTACACAGAGAAATCCATCTTGAAAAAACAAAAAGAAAAAGAAAAAGCTAAGGCAACTATTTGTTTGATGACCCCAGGACCTTCTCTGCCTGGGTATCCATTCCTAATCATTTGATTTCTGAAGCTTAGTTAAAATACTAAAAATATCATACAAACACAACTATCTAAAACTTTAATCCAACATAAAATAGACTGATGCTTTTAAAGTACCAATTAAAAGAATGTATATTTCTCATTTTCAAAACTGAAACTATCTACTCCCATAGTTAAGTAGTATTGACTTTATAGAGTCTGACTCAGTGGTTCTCAACCTGTGGGTCACGACCCCTTTGTGGTTGTGAATCAGGTATTACACTACAATTCATAAGAGTAACAAAACAAAACATAGTTATGAAATAGCAATTACTGTATGGTTGGGATCACCACAACATAAGGAACTATATACTGAAGGGTCACAGCATTAGAAAGGTTGAGAACCACTGGTTTATCTTAACTTTTAGCAACATGTAGTTCTGAATTCAGAACAATGTTTTACTATAACAAGAATTTTTCTTAATCTACTGCCTGGTAACTTCTGTTTTGGCATATTTTGCCATGAAATGAGATCATTGGCGAGCCTTTTGTCTTTTAAGTCTTTTATTATGAACAAAAAAAATTAAGCTTTTACATGAATCAAAAATTTACGATAAACTACTTTTAAACTCAAGGGTCAACAGGTTTACACACAATACTAGAAAGAGAAAAATGCTAATTCTTTTAAAATTTAATACTGATGATATACAAAAAACTGGCCTCAGGATAAAACTAGTGCTGCCTACCTACATGTCATGAGAATGCCTCATGAAGAATCTTCTAACACAAACTATTTTTAGATCAGGCCTCAATTCTCAAGTGGTATCAACTGATATTCTAAGGGTAAAACAATGTTTTCCTACAGCTCTGAGCCTTGACTGTACCTCCAGAAGGTCAGGCTACAAAAAAATTCATTTTTTTTTTTGCACAATGAAATATTCCTTCCCTAAAATGTCAATCCTTATGTTAAAAAAGACAAAGTCACAGGCTCTGAGATATAAACACCAAGTCTACCACCTTCTATTACTGTGAGCCTGAGTTACCCCTAAGGTATAAAAAGTGAGTGGTAGAGTTTATTACAGAATTACAAATTAAATGGCTAGAATTCTCAGTAAATTTACTTTTGCAAATGTCCGACTCCATGTAGGTAATGACATCACTATTACATGCATGCTTCCCATGTATTATTCAAGCTACCTCCATCAAGAAACATTTTAGCACAAACGAGGTGGGTTTTCCCTTTTGATTTTACACCTATGGTTTCAAACTACCAATTATGACTTGTCTAAAGTGTGTTTGAGACAGGATCTTATAATTCAGTATGGCCTAGAACTCATGACCCTCTTGCCTCTGTATCCCAAATTCTGAGATTATAGACATTTACCATTCTACCTGGGTAAAAACGTAAATCCACCCCATGAAGATTACATTTGCTCAAAAATAAAATCACTGCATTGTGTACATGGTAGAAAAAAAATCTAGAACTGCTTTATTGGAAAACCCTGGCCTGGCCTTCAGAGAGTATATGTTCTAGGCCAAGCAAGTGGCAACCATCCCTCAGGTCAAAACCCTGCTGGCTGACACTCAATCACCATCTTTAGTTTTTATTCAGCCTGCTATTACTCAACAACACAACTACACTAGCGATACCTTCAAGAGAATTACTGTTAGTCCTCTACGAACTTTTTTGTTGTTGTTTTCAAGGGCTTCTCTGTGTAACTAACAGTCCTGGCTGTCCTGGAACTACTGGAACTCTCTCCTGTAGACCAGTTTGGCCTAGAACTCACAGAGATCTGTCTGTCTCTGCTTCCTGAGTGCTGGGATTAAAACTGTGCGTCACCACCACCCGCCCCCTATGGACTTTAAAAAGCTAAAATTTAAGTTTGGGCCAGCAGCAGTGGTGCACGCCTTTAATCTTGGCACTTGGAAAGCAGAAGCAGGCAGTTTGAGGTCAGCCTGGTCTACCTAATTGAGAAACCCTGTCAAAAATAAAAACAAAACAATACAAATTCAAGTTTGTTGATTAAGGATAGTTTATTTCTTCAGATGTGAGTTTTTAGTGTCTAATTATCATTTGTCTTTAGTTTTCAGGAAAACATTACCCCTTGTTCATTTGTTTTCTAAGAGTAAACATTTTGGACACTCAAAATAA